GCAGCGTGTCCTGAAATTCCCGAAGTCCCTGTTTGGCCAAAGTTGATAGCAGTGATTGATCGTGTAGGTTGATTTTAATGGATCCAAACTGTCGTCCAGCGAGCAGGTCGGTTCAGCTCACCTGCCTCTGTACCTGTGGGAGGGCTGCAGGTAGATGGGGTAATTTTTCAAATCTGTTAGGAGCCATTTGCATGAGACTTCTGAGTGACAAGAACGAGCAACCTGATTTACGGTGCGTGTGAACCAGCAGCCAGGTGAGGTGTGCGGTGCCTGAGTGTTCCTTTGCTGCCCTTAGGCAGCATCGCAAGCAAAGGTGGTTCCCAAAGCCTGCACCAAGGTTTTTCTGTAGCTTCCCGCTGTTCCTCGTGGCAGCAGCCATGTCCAGGGCAGGTGTGAGTTCCCCGTCCCTGAGAGCTGCGGGCAGGCGACAGTCGCGCTGCTTTATCAGGATGGCGTGAGGTTGTATTTCTGGTTTGGAAGCAGCTGGAGGCAGCTTCTTTGGACATCTCCCCGTTGATATTTCATATGTGAGAAGTTGCCTCTGCTTTCCTTTCCCTTTTCTCTCCCAAATACGCGGTGTTCCCTACTCGCAGGATGCACCTCATGTCCCCCCATCACTCGGCGCTGCCTCTCGTGCTCCTTTCGGCTCGAGGGGGGCTTGTGGTGGGAGGTTTGCTGAAAGCTGGCGAGCGTGGATGTCGGGAGCAGGGATCGAAGCGACACGTCTGTCAGGTGCGAGGCAGATTGTACCATCTAATCCCCTGGCTGCCGTCTGCAGCGTTTGTCAAGGCCTCCGCTGGCCTGCTCCGTTTCATCAGAGGTATCACTAGCATTCATCTAGGCTGGCAGCATTTCAGCAGCTGTTAATCCTCTTTGTATCTTTAAATGCTGTGACCGCTGACAAGCTTCTATACTCTGAGATGTCAAAATATTTCAAGATAGCTGTGGTGATGGTGATTGGGGTTTTTTGATTAATCAAAACACCTTCTGATCTATTGACCCAGGCTGAACCTGACAGAGAAATCTGCGTCCAGCATCAGGTTTTTGCTGCTGCTGCTTGGTGTTCGCAAAGATTTTTGCCTAAATCTGATTAATCTCTAGTTCCTCATGCTCATGATGCGCAGATTTCTGGTTTATGTGTTACCGCAAGTAGCGCATGTTTCACTGAAGTTGTAAGGAATGTGGTTTAATGTCAATGTGAGAATGAGCTGGCAGGGTTTTCTCTTTATGCTTCAATTACTTTCCCTCCTGAAATAACCCTGAGAATTTCATCTTCTGCTATATTGTTTTCTTACTTTCTTTGCTGTATGTTGTGGAAAGGGCCTGGGCAGCGTAGCGAGGTGTAGTAGGGAGTGCTGGAGTTTCTCTGCACGTTTGCAGCCAAGGAGGAATGCTGAATTAAAATTACTCCAAATTTAGCTCCGGATTTTAAAATTGATTCCTTTTGGAAGGGGAATTTTTAGTGCAAGAGTGTTTTGGGAAGAGTGGGGAGCAAGGGTGTAGCAGCAAATCTGTTGTAGAAAAACAGCAGGGTAAAGGAAAGCGATTCTGTTGGTCTTTAGGCTCTAGTTATGTATTTTTATAACTTCTCAGTGTTTTTATTATTTGCTACGAACCATCATTTAATAGCAGGGGAAAATCTTTCAAAGTAACATTTCTTTGTTTACTTTGTTTGTCCTCTCTGGAGAGCTCTCTCCCCATATGACAAAGCTCTGATCTTCCGAAGTTGGCTCCCCTGAGGCTCAGCTTTATTGAGAGAAGTGAAACATTTTAGGTGGTTCATTCATTCTTTCTGTGTCTCTTGTTATTTGAGCCCTTATGGTGTCCTTTGGTCATGTTTTTAAACTTATTTCTGCAACTAAGAATGCCAGGAGCTTTATTTAATAATAGTTGAGGTCTCGTGTTCAGCTTTTTCTTTGTGAGCTGCCATTTTATCTCAAGCATCAAATGTTGTGAGAGTAAATTAAAAGCAGTGTTGATGTCATGTAATTTTGTGTTGAATGTTCTCTCTTTCACTGTGCAACTGAATATCGTTTTATGAAGCTGAAGAACTTCTACGGGCAGCTCAGACTTTATTTCAAGTGCAAATACCATACCTTGATCCTGCTGAGCAGCCCTTACGTGTGGGCGGCTCTGCTGAGGGCACAGGGGGTGCATAGATGGTTTCTGGCTTGGTTGGTTGTTTGCAACCTTATTACAAAGTTCTAGAATTTTGTAGGCCATTGGAACGTTATCCCCTGCCGTAGCATGGTAAGTAAAATACTGAAAATGAAACAGATCTTGCGTCTGAAGTTGTACAGGTGAGGATACTTGGAAAAATATTCTCGAAGTAGAAGCTTCAAATCACAGAACCTGCGGTGACTGACAGGCCTGTCTGATGCTCGTTTAGCCCGTTTGTTGCTCTTTTAGTGTTTAGGACAAAAGTGAATGTGACTTTCCCAAGGTAGGAAAGGGCCTAGAGGCCAAGGAAAACCTGTTTAACAAGTCTGCTTGTTGAATGAACTCAGGTTTAAATGGCAAAATTCTATTTTTTTTTTCTTATTTGGGGAAGCATTTAAAGCTACTGATTCATAGCATTGGAAATACTGCTTCATTGGGGTTTAGGGGTTTTGAGGGGGGAAAAGAGGGGGAAAGGGCAGCAGAGAGGTCTGATCCAAAAGCAAGAGGCCCGGCTGGATCACATGCAAAGATGTTTTCCTTTTAAAAACTCAGCAGCTTTCATCTTCAGGTTGAAGGTCTCCTGGGCCCCTCCTTGATCTTCGCATCTTGCCATGTGTCTTGTGGTTTCTCCGAGGCCAGCTCTCTCCTCCTTGCCCTGGCTGAGATTCTTGCCTCTCTGCTCAGGTTGTCACTTGCCTGTTTTTATCAGCTTTAGGATCCAGAGCTATTTCATACTGATTTCTTTCCCAGCTGTTTCTGGCCGTGTCTGTAGTTGATGTAGTTGGAGATGAGGCTGACCACAGTACTGGGCAGCCGAACTCTGATAAACTAGACAAGCACGATAATCGACAGTGCAACCAGCAAATGACTCTGTTGGCTTTTTCTCCTTTCTTTAGGTGGGTTAAATGCCAACCTCATGCTGGGTCTCACGTACAACACATTTGTTCCTGTTTTCCTCTCCTGCTGCTGTTGCACTGCAAAGTGCTGCAGGCTAATAGTATTTGACGAGGCTACTTCCTATAGCCTGAAAAGTGTTTAATTTTACTGCCTTGTTTTCTCTCTTTCCCAGTTTCTCTCATTTTGATCTTTCAAATCCAGTCCCTCTGAGAAATCAGACAGTATGAAATATGAAAATTGCTCGGGTAGTAATCGGAGAAATGGTGAGACTTATGAAGCCCATGGAGATAACGCTTACATCTACTTATTCACATTATTTAATTTTTAATGGCAAATTTAATTAATGAAGTGCAGGCCTTGTGGTTTCATGTGTGAATAAGTAACAGCAGGGAGCTGAAAGTCGTGAGATCTGTTTACAGGACAGAGAAAAAAGCTCCATTAAAAGCTGAACTTTTCATTATAGGATGGAGAAAAATGGGTTTAATAGCATAGAAGTTTGACCATTATGTAACAAGTAAGTAAAGGAAAGCATTAACGACAGTTTGCTGGCGAGCCGCATTTTGAAGCGATTGCTCTTCCATGAGTTCTTCGTTCTGTCTCCTGGGTCAAAGTTTGGAAAAGCTAAGTCTGTTCTGCGCTTTTTGTGGGATGACATAAATTCAGGCACCAGAGATAAAACGCTTAAATATAGCACCTTGAAGCCTCGGCTCTGAAAACCTGTATAAGCCTTCCAATTAGCTGAGCTTCACACAACTTCAGTGGTACAGGCAGCTGTTATCCTCGCTTGCAGATGGGAAATGGTGACTTGCCCAAGATTGCACAAGTGGCAGAACCGCTAATAGAACTTGAGTTATATCTGTCCTTTCCTTTTTCTAACCACTGAACAATATGTGTCGTCTCATCATGCGCAGGACCACAGCTGCATTTATGGGAAAATAAATGAGGAAGGGCAAGAATAGTGTTCTATATAAAATGACCAAATTTGGGGAGAGACGAGATAGCAGCTAGAACTGGCCCGAAATGAATAGCTGTCCTCTCTTTCAGTACCGTTTTGTAGCTTTTTTGATTGATTATTGCATATTTTCTGCATGTGCCTTTTCAGACTAAGGGCCTTGCACATGACGAGATTTGAGTGAGGCAATTGCAGCTATTTCGGTATAAAGTCCAGAGGCTTTGCCTAAAGCAGCTTTATCAGCACTTTAGTGACACAAGACCTTGCAGCGCAGTGGCTGGGGGGGCGCAGCCGTTCCCTTCCCCTCCTTGTGCTTGGGAGACTTGTAAGTGCAGCCGAGAGGAGAAATTCGCCCTCCGTGTTCGGCGGCTGAGCAGTTGTGAACTAAAACTCTGTGCAAGCTCAGGAGAATTTAATGCAAACCTCTTAAGCCCTGCAGCAAGACACTCCAGACTCTGTTTGGCAGTGCCTTAACTGATACCTGATACGCCTCCCTGTGTTGTTAAAAGGGAAACAGGCTGCATAATTTTCTTTTAGAGAATAAGTAACATAAGTAGAAGCACTGAAATGTAAAATGGATTTTCCAGTGCTAGCAGCCAATTTTGATACTTGCACGTCAGGAACTTGAAAGATCCTTCACAGCATTTAATGAAAAAAGAGAACAAAACATAACCTAACTCAAAATAACTTGGTGCTGGAAACACCTTGTTTTTGTGGTTACATGGAATAATTAAAGCTGATGGTTGGTTTTTAGCCACCTTTTCCCATCTTTCCCTTCACAAAGGTGAAGTGTGGAATGGAGGACGCAATCATGGCTTTGTTGCGTCTTGCTGGAGAAAAAATCAACTTTTAAGAATTTTTTGTGTTCTTTGAACTGAATATGCTGTTTGTTGTTAGAAATCGTTATTAATTATAGAAGATAACTTTGTGGCGGGATAAGATCTGAGACTCCTTTAATTTTTAGAGCTGAGTGTTATATTCTTTGTTTCAGAATGCGGAGATCTACAAGCTGACGTCGGAGCAATACCAGGAGGCAGCTGCCAAGGCAGAGGAGTGCATAAAGTGAGGACCCATTTTTGTTCTTTTCAGCAATTCCAGTTGCATTTCATAATGCTCTGTGTAACCTCTGGATAGTCCAATGAGCGGAGCGTGAAGTTGCCTCCTGTCAGGTATTTAGGGGACTGAGGAGTCGTAATGTAGCGTCCTCTCTTTCTGTGCCAAGCTGGACAGAATGGAGTATAAAGTTGTTAGATATTGCAAGAGAGAATGAGGGAGAAAACATGAACTTAGGAAATTCCCATTAAATAGGAATGTTTACTAGGGTTTTCAAAATGGCAATGGAAGGTGTTTCAGACTTTGACCCAATGTATGTAACCTCATATGGCAGCACTGGGCTAACGCGTGGGAGTAGGAAGAATGGCACAACTTGCAGAGTTTTCATTGTTCAGGGAAGAAAAAGGTAAACAGTTTGAATCTTAGACCTGTAAATTTCAATCAAAATAAAGGTGTTATTATAATAAATGTTTCTGTAGAATGACTGTAATGATTTTTCCGGCCGTTTTTATCAGCCTTGGCCCAATTAGCTGGCATTTAATGTTGTCTTTCTACAATGAGCATATTTTGTGTCTAAATTTCATTTGTATTTGCCAGTAGTGTTGTATAGCTTATTGTTCCACATGCACTAACAGCTATCTAAGAAAAAATATTTTCTGTAATTCTTTAATATTAATGAGTCCAAAGCAATTACACTGTCAAGAGCAGCACTCGAATCTCAGTTGGGTAAACAGTTGGCCAACATGCAGTAAACTGGAGTAGCAACATATGTAGTCCAGTTGGGCCCAGTCCAGACTGTACGATACTTAATTGCATAAATAGATAATGTAGTAGTGATGAATATGTTAGTAGAGTGTGCAGTATATTGTGCTGTCTTTATTTAAAATTATATTTGACTGCCAAGGCATCACATAACCTGTTGTAATTTCATATTTTTGTTTGGACAGTCAAGCAATAAGTTGCTAAAGAAGCCAAAGCAAGTCAGCTAACACATTGCGTGCATTTTCATGCGGTTTCCTGTGTAGAATTCTAAATTCTGTTTTTAAGTAAAATTTTAAAAATTCATAAGACATAAAGTTCTGACAGTCTTTGATCAGTTTAGTCTTTTCTTGGATTGGCTTCTGCAGATGTTTGCTCAGTTGTTGGGAATCCATGTAGCAGTGATTTATTCTTGTGACTTTGTAAAGGAAGAGATTGGGACCTTGGTTTATTTTATGTACTTGTGATTACAGACTGTAACTAACCTATTTTTTATAGTAGTGTTAAGTTTGTTCCTGAGGTTTCAGTTGCATTTGGTCTCTGTTTCTGGTGGAGATGAAGACTGGTAATGTAGGAAACTTGGGAATGCAACCATTCCTCATAAAGGTCAGTGACTGAGATGAGTACAAATACTAATGGCTTCTTTCTTTCAAGATTCAGGAAATGTCTTTACAGCCTCTTAGGGCTTCCATCCGCTTTTCTTTGAGCCTTTATCATCTGCTAGTCCCTGGCTTCTGGCCTTATTGTATAATGCTCTTCTATTTGATGGCAGTATGAACTTGAGCTATCATAAAGGGACAGGTTCCTTGGGCTGTCTTCCTTGCAGCTGAAAGAGACACCTGCCCTAATGTGAATTTTGCATGAAAAGATAATGTGGCTGAGGGGTATCTTGAAAGGGACAAACTGTGTGCCACTAGTGAAACTAAGGGAGAAGGTGAGCATCGTACTCCCTATTTCTTTACAGTAGAAACTGTCAGCAGTAGCTGGGATTGCACCGAGTCGTGTGTTGGAGTGCACAGTCTGGAATGGATAATGCCCTTTGATAGTTGTCTGAGCAGGAAGAGGTGTTGCTTTGACCAACGAGCCTGCAGCGGATGTGTCTCTTACAGCAGTATGCAGCGATCGTTTTCATGATCGCTTCCTTAGTGTACAGCACGCTGTACAAACACTCTCAAAGAGTACGTTTGCCTCAAGTGAGGGTCACGATAAGGCTGGGACGGGGTCAGGGGAAACTTCCTTTGTACATTGGCATTCATTCTTAATTGGTAGGACCTGAAGCCTGCGTGTTAAGAGGTCCTCTTATTAGGCATTGTATTTGCAAGTCTTTCTACAGCCTGTTTACGGTGATAAATTACAAGATCCTGGGACTTCAGCGGAAAGAATAGTTTGCTCATCCTGTTTTGCACTTTTGTATTACACATACGAGCCCAGTAAGTGCTAAGATAGGTAAGACTGGTTTTTGCAGATCTAGCAGCTTGGTTGACAGGAATAAACTGATGCTCCAACAAAATTACATGAACTGGAATATAGCCAAAGTTTGAATGAAGCCCAGGTCTGCCTGCATCCAGTGCTGGACTACCACAGCTCCTGTAATGAAAGGAAACCAGGAGTGGCTCTTTCTCCATCTGCAGAGAAGAGTGCATCTCCTTCCCGTAGAGTCTCTTCCCTAGCTTGTATCATCCCTGTTTCACTGAACTCTTTGTCCTGCCCCTGGTACTTGTGCCTTGTGGGGTTAATCTACCCTGTATTTGTTGTCTTCTGCCACTGTGTATCAGCGTAGCTGATGGACCAAGACTGGAATAGAGCTCGGGCTGTTTCCACAGTGAGTATGCTGTTTCTTAAGAGTCCATGTTGAAACAAAGGTAAGAAATATCCGAAACAAAAAAAAAATCAGTGTTTTCTTGGCATTTATTGGCTTTTGCAATTCTGTTATCAACACCTACAGCTCTGCACAAGTGGTCAAGTGTTCCATGGGCTATTTCCTCTCCTTGGTGATTATCAAGGAATATAGTACAAGGTTTCTGCCAGTGACCCTTCACGACATGCCCGTGAGGTAGTCAGGTAAACCTTCCTGTCTTCCTTTGTATAGAAGCAGAAGTGAAGTACTTGGCACTAAGTTTTGTATTAAATCACTGACTCAGGCTTTAGCTCTTAGTTTCTGCTTCAAGGTGGGAGACTAAGCTTGATGCCTGCGTGACCTGACTTGCACAATGGACTTTGTTCCCCATCTCTTGACCCCGGCCCAGCCTGCTCCTGTCTCTGCACTCCTCCTACCACAGTATCTCCTTCTTTGTTCTGGGCTCTGTCCAACCTGTTTCTTTCTCCCATAAAGAAGATCCTAGCAACGAGAAACCACTGAGCACAGCTTTCAGCACCTTGAGCATCTTGCCCTTGTTGCTTACATGCTGTGGTGAATTGGACAGTTGCCATGGGTATGTTGTCTCAGTGATGTTGTTATAATTGTTGCATTATTATTTTTCTCCTTTTGTTAACCAACAAAATTAAAGTCTGGGGACCTAGAACATTTCCCCCTCTCTTCTTTCCTTGTTTAGCAAACTGTGCACATCAGTAACCACCCACAAAGGAAGCAGTGTGTAAATAAAACGCCAGTGCTCCCCGCCCTTCACTTCGTTCCACATCCTTTTCTCAGTGTTCATAGAGCCATGACTCAGACTGGGTTTAGAGAAGACAACTTGCTAATCCCCTCCCTGCTACAGAGAATAAAATGGCATTTCATTCCAGAGTCTATTAATGCACTCGCTCCGGGGATAAAGCAGCACTCCCAAAAGGCAGTGGCCAAATTTTTTTTCTGTTGCGTTGTCTTTGTCTTCTTTTGAGTGTTACATTTAGATTAGCTTCTGAGGATTAAATGTTATTACAGTCCCTGAATCTGTTAAGGGGAAGGAAAAAAACATCAGTAAAGAGGTTATGGCTTAGTGCAGGCACTCTAGATTTATCCTCAAAATGCTGGGTTTTAAAAAAAAATTATTTATTTTCTTTTGTGAAGGTCGTCTTATCATGTTTTCATTTTATTTTTGTAGTTGTTAAATTTGGATGCAAGAATTGTCATGGGTGGGGTGTGAGTCTCTCTAAAAGGTAAAGCTGCAGGAGTGGGGTCAGGGGATTAGGAAGCTGTTAAAAGATAAAATTGTTCTGAAGTTGAGTTTCCCTCCAAAATCTCCTTATAGTTTGCAGAACTGTTTCGGAAGCTGCTTACCAATGGGTGTGTTGCTTTGCATGTTGTGCTGAGAGGGCTGCATATGCTTCACACTGTTATCAGGGAGTGCATAAAGAACGTCGGTATCTTATCCTGATAGAGATCAGCCTCGAATCCAAGGCAGCTTTCCAATGGAGAAACTGCCAAAGAGATTTACTCCATGTGGGACTTAGTATCTCAGTTCCATTTAATGGTCCTAAGATCTTTAAACTTAATGGACATGAGTATTTAAGGCGATTATGTTAGAGAAACTGCCACGTAGTAAGTATCCTCCTGGGCTGAACATGGAGTAGAGAACCACACTGACACAGTGAGGGTAGAGGGAGAAAATTCATAGCTGGATTGTCTGCAGGGAACAGGGAATGTATGGCTTGCTTTCGGTACTCGTGGAAGTGAAGGTTCTATTGAATTGCACAAAATTTTGAGGCTGACGACCTGCCAAAATGGCAACACTATCTGGAACCTAGAGGAGCTGCCTTTTCTTTTTTTCTTCTTTTTTTTTTTTTTTTCCCCCTTGTTTGTGTAGATCTGGAAAGTTTATAAGATAGGTATGTGGTGATTCTTGAGTTTATTAATCCTGAAATGTACTATGAGGCCTCAGGTATTTGAGCAGAGGATTGTGCCCAGGAGTCAAGCTCTAAAATAGTTATTATGTGGACAGTTGTGAAGCCCAAGCAGAAGGGTAAAGACATCCTAGTTTTCAAATAAAATTGCGCTGGGATTTCTCCTATCATTAGATTAGATAAATGATTAATTCCATGTTGAAATGAAGAGCCTCTGCAATAGAGATTTGAGAGTTTTCAGGAATAAAAGACTGCTTACTGCTAGGAGCTCATCCCCAGCCTTATCTCAGCATTGTGCTTTTGTGCCCTGCAATGATGATGATACTTTCACAAAAAATAGTTTGACTCCATCCCAGTCCCGTTCTTCGCTCAGCACTTGGTTTGTGCTGAATGTTCCTACTTCTGTCCGCGCTGATTCTGATTCATGTAATCTTTGAAGAAAGAGAGGAGTTATTAGTCAAAGCTTTGCT